AATACAAACAAAAGTGATTAGCTTAAACACATACATGAAATTCAGTAATAAGGTGTTAGTGAGATAATTTTAAAGGCTGGAGATAAAAGTATAAAATCTGGAAAGATTCTGCATTTAGATTTATTATGCGTGTCCTTAAGGACTTGCTTCGTTTTGTAGAACATAAAATAACACATCATAAAAAATGCATTCTGGGTGTGGTTTGCATGGAATTCCAGGCAGAGACAAAACATTGCATTAAAATATTGTCTATTTTGATTTATTATAGGTTTTAAATTAAAATAAAATATTTACTGTATTTATGTACTTTTTATGATTCCCTACTTTCAGTTTTTTGATTAACCATCCAAGTAATCATTCTAATTGTTCAGCCAAGAGGGCATCTACTTCATATGTGTGAGTATTAGTCCATTTATCAAAAAGATTGATGGAATATATTTCAAAATGCCAGAATACTTCTAGCTCTCTGAAAGGATTTAAATAGTTATAATATCTTCTTGCAGTTTTTGTCTATTTGACACATTTTCATGGTAAATTTGTATTATTCTTGTGATCAGAGGGGTAATTTTTTTTTTTTTTTTTGAGACAGGGTTTCACTCCCATCGTCTAGGCTGGAGTGCAGTGGTGTGATCTCGGCTCACTGCAACCTCCGCCTCTAGGCTCAAGAGATCCTCTCACCTCAGCCTCCTGAGTAGGTTGGACTACAGGCACGCACAGCACTGCACTGGCTAATTTTTGTATATCTTGTAGAGATGGGGTTTCTTTAGGTTGCCCAGGCTAGTCTCAAACTCCTGAGTTTGAGTGACCCACCCACCTTGGCCTCCCAAAGTGTTGAGATTATAGGTGTGAGCCCTGCCAGAGTGGTAAATTTTTTAATAGAAGAAAAAAAGAAACATCAATAGAATTAGAAGTAGGAAAAGGAAGAATTGATAGATAAAAGCAGTAATAATATATAGCACTTAATAGGTCTTAAAGCACTTTTACTTGATCTCCACAAAAGCCTTTAGCATAGGTCAGTCCAGAAATCATCCTCTCCCTCTCTTTAACGGATGCAAAAATAAAATCTGAAAAGTTGAGGAACCAACCCAAGGTCCCTGTTTTAGTAATCTCCTACCCCATAGCAAACCACCTCAAAACTTAGTGGCTTAAAACAACAATTGACTATTACTTCTCAGGGCTCTGTGGGTTGGCTGGGTTCAGCTGGACAACTCCCACTTGTCTCTCATGAGGCTACAGTCCCATCGTTGGCTGGAGCTGGGCCATCTGCAGGCCCACTGGGCTGGCCTTCAAGATGGTGCACTCATGAGTCTAATGTTACCGGGGCAGCCCCAGAGAAAGAGCTGAAAAGCTCACTATTTCCATAACCAGTCTATTTCTAGTCTCTTTATCTATAGGTGCTCCGCTTAAAGAACTCCAGCTGGCGCAGACCCCTGCAGGAACTTCATAACATTTTGCCAAATACCAGAGGAAGGAAAGACCTGCAAGAAGCCAGTGCGAATCAGAACCGACAGCCCCTTATTACCTTTAGGTCATTAATACATCATGAGGAGGCCAGGACCCTCAACCCTAAAAGGAAATCGCCACCACTTTCTGTGTGACGTATGAAGGCGTTTGTTTATGACCTGTGCCCGTGTGATGGAGTTCCTCCCTGCACGTGTTTGCATACCTCCCTGCCCCACATCAAATGCCTTAAAATTCCCCGACTTTCTGGCCGGGCGCGGTGGCTCACACCTACAATCCCAGCACTTTGGGAGGCTGAGGCAGGTGGATCACGAGGTCAAGAGATCGACACCATCCTGGTCAACAATGTGAAACCCCGTCTCTACTAAAAATACAAAAATTAGCTGGGCATGTTGGCGGGCACCTGTAGTCCCAGCTACTCGGGAGGCTGAGGCAGGAGAATTGCTTGAACCCAGGAGGCAGAGGTTGCGGTGAGCTGAGATCATGCCATTGCACTCCAGTCTGGGTAACAGCAGTGAAACTCCATCTCAAAAAAAAAAAAAAAAAAAAAAAAAATTCCCCGGCTTCCTACCTCCCAGACAGAAGGAGCTCTCCTCCGTCCCTGGTCACTGAATAAAAACTGCTTGCCCTTTTTTTCTTTTTTGAGATGGAGTTTCGCTCTTGTTGCCCAGGCTGGAGTGCAGTGATGATCTTGACTCAACCCAAGCTCCGACTCCCACATTCAAGCAATTCTTCTGCCTCAGCCTTCTGAGTAGCTGGGATTACGGGAACACATCACCATGCCGGATAATTTTGTGGGTTTTTTTGGTATTTTTAGTAGAGACAGGGTTTCTTCATGTTGGTCAGGCTGATCTCGAACTCCTGACCTCAGGCGATCCACCTGCCTCAGCCTCCCAAATTCCTGGGATTACAGGTGTGAGCCACCAGACCCAGCCACCTTTTTTTCAATTGGGTGTTCTTTCTTTGCAACCACTACAAATTACGGAAACAAATCAGTTTCCTGGTGACACTAGCAGTTGATGCTGGCTGTGTACTGGGAGCTCAGCTTGGGCTCCAAGCAGAGTGCTTGCATGAGGTTCTCTCTCCGCATGGAGGCTAGGTTCCTAGGGGGATACTACCAAGATTGAGCCTTCTAAGAGCCATGGGCCAAAGCTATGAGTCTTCTGAACAGTCCTCCAAACTTCCAGAGCATCCTTTCCACCACGTTCTATTGGCCAAGCAGTCACTAAGACCAGCCTGGCTTCAAGGGAAGGGGACTTAGGCCCTCCTTTTAATGGGGCATGACAACATCACAGCACAACAGAAGAGCCTGTTGCTGGGGCCATCTTTGGACAAGAGAATCTGCTCTAGTCGCATAGCTAAAGATTGCTGGGACCAGGATGACGCTGGTGTTCCTTTTACTGGAAAAGACTGCATCTTAATGAGATTTACAGATACAAATTGTGTCACAATGTCTGAAACGATATGGATCTGGTAATAATTTCATTAACAATGAAGAAATGTGAAGGCAGTTGCATTTTCAAATGCAGCATCAGGACTGGTATTTTAAAAGTTCTAAAGCCAGGCCGGGTGTGGTGGCTCATGCCTGTAATCCTAGCACTTTAGGAGGCTGAGGTGTGCGGATCACCCGAGGTCAGGAGTTTGAGACCAGCCTGGCCAACATAGTGAAATCCCATTTCTACTAAAATACAAAAATTAATCAGGCGTGATGACTCACCAAGTCCCAGCTACTTGGGAGGCTGAGGCACAAGAATGGCTTGAACCTGGGAGGCGGAGGATGCAGTGAGTTGAGATCCCGCCACTTCACTCCAGTCTACACGACAGAGCACAACTCCATCTCAATAATAATAATAAATAATAATAATAAATTTAAAAAAAAATAAACATTCTAAAGCCAGTTGGAGTTTACTAACTGCTTCAAATATGCCCCTTATTTCTTCTCTCCCCATGGAGAGTGCAGGGAAAAAAATTTATGCCTGTTACTTAACAAGGGCTTAGATGAGACGATTAATTCCAGTTCAGCTCTTTTCTTAGAAAGGAAGGTGGTATGTTTTGGTTGCTCATTGGTTATTGGTAATAGAGCTATTTTCCCAAGCATAAAAAGAAGACTTAGTACCTGCTTTCTTTATTAAAATTGTGAATTGCTCAAAGCAGCTTCCTGTCCTCCAGGAAATCTAAAGCAAAGCACTGAGAAATTTTATAGCCTCCTTCCTTTCCCCCAGAGCCCACAAGAACTATTTTTTTCCCTTCTATCTCTTTTATTTTCCCAGACCGTAATTTCTGTGCAGAGAGCCCAGTTCAATGGAAGTTTCTGGAAGGCAGGGATGCCAGAGTGTGGCAACATCATTCCAAGGACCATCACTGGTGCTCAGGAAATCGTGGGCCTCAGGCCACTGAGTGCCTTTTACTTTAAAGAGACATGGTTTCTGGGCACAGTGGCTCACATCTGTAACCCCAGAACTTTTGGAGGCCAAGGCAGGTGAATCACTTGAGCCCAGGGGTATGAGACCAGCCTGGGCATCATGGCAAAACCTTGTCTCTCCAAAAAAATTCAAAAATTAGCCAGGCGTGGTGGTGTCTCAGCTATTCAGGAGGTTGACGCAGGAGTTACTCAGGAGGCTGAGGCAGGAGGATCAAATGAGCCTGGGAGGTCAAGCCCGCAGTGAGCTGTGATCACACTACTGCACTCCAGCCTGGGTGACAGAGTCCTTGTTACACACACACGCAAAAGACAAGGTCTATTTGGTTTTGTTCCTTTCAAGTCTTAACACGACGAAAGGCCGTTTTTAGTGAGTAAAACCAGAATCATTTTATAGATTATGCCAGTAATAAACACCACTAGGAATTTGTCCTACTTTAAATGATGCTCAGTTCATTTTACTCCTGGATTACTGGATACTTGCTTTGTTTTTATTAATTACTTTTATTACTTGTCATTAGAATTAGAATTTCATTATGCCTTATATTCAAACCAAGCTTGACAAATAGTTGGGAGGCTTCCTTTTCCCCAACTTTGGCTTTGCCAGAGCTGCAATAATGGTCCTCGACTGGCCTGCTAAGGGCTGCCTCTGTCCTTCCCTCTGACCGGCTCTGTCCCTCTGTACATCATGAATCCATGGAAAGCTCAGAGATGTGTAGGAATGAGGAGGAAGTGTCAGGAAGCAGGGTGGCCCCAAGTGCTAAGAAATGGAGCTTAACAGGAGGAAGAGGTTGATCTGAGCAGGTTTCCTTTTTTGGAAGGAGCTGTGGGGAGCCAGAGGGGTCCTAGAGGGAGGGCAGAGACTGTTGCTGGGAAAATGGTGATGCTACAGCAGACTGGGCTTCCTGGGGCTCCAGGAGTGCAGCTTTGCATCCAGCACTGTCCTAGCAGTGTGGGAGGCTCAGTGTCAAGCCCCAGCTGTGGTTTTGGGGCTCCTTTTAGCAACTACTCTCTCTTGCTAATGTCCTGTGTTCTGCAACTGCTTCTCCTGGTTTGCTTTGATTGTTTTTTTTTAGCGTGTTCCTTCCCTGGTTCTTGTATACCTCTTTTTGGTCTCTTTTCCTTCATGTACCTCCTTCCTTTCTGATCTCAAAAAAACTGCCATCAAAGATGCCTTTCTGCTGACATTTTTTTTGGATGCTGTATACACCTACAGATCAAAAATGATTGCAGCTCTTTTGAAAAAAGCAAGCATGTTTCTTGCTTAAATAGTCCAGTGCCTGGACACATAACAATTTCTCTAAAAGTAGATTGCAAATGACTAAATTGATTAGTTCCTATAAGCAGCTCAGCCCTGTGGTAGATAATGTTACTGGGATCTTATTGCTTGAGGGGGTTGACTTTGTAATTTGTGACTTGTGCTTTGCTGCAGGCTTTGCTGCTGAAATACAAATGAGGCCGTATTGACATTTATGCTCAGGCTCAAAGGACCCCACTGGTTCTTCTGAAATGGATCCAAACTGTCTCTGAATATATTTTTGCTCAGCTTTTCCCAAATAAGCCTAGAGGTGCTTGTACAAGTTCACGAATCAGTCCAGCATCTGAGCTGTCCCAGAGGTGCCTGTTCCCCTCGCTGGTGAAATAGACCGTCCCCTTTGTATCTAGACTATGATGGTTTCTCAAGAGAAGGAGGATATGGACTCAGGAGTATCTCACAGAAAAACTGCCTGGGCCCTAAGTGTAACACCTTACAACTCATCCTTGGACAAGCCCCTCCCAATTCACACTTGGGTGAGCCTCTTCCAATTCACCCTTGGACAGCCCCTTTCAATTCACCCTTGGACAAGACCCTTCCAATTCACACTTGGGTGAGCTCTTCCAATTCACCCTTGGACAGGCCCCTTCAAGTTCACCCTTGCACAAGCCTCCTTTCAATTCACACTTGGACAGCTCCTTTTAGTTCACCCTTGGACAAGCCCTTTCCAAACCACCCTTGTGCAAGCCTCCTTCTAATTCACTCTTGGGGATCATCTTCCAATTCACCCTCGGACAAGGTCATTCCAATCCACTCCTGGACAAGCTTCCTTCCACTTCACACTTGGGTGAGCATCTTTCAATTCACCCTTGGACAAGTCCTTTCCAATTCACATGTGAACAAGCCTCCTTCCAGTTCACACTTGAATGAGCCTCTTCCAATTCACCTTTGGACAAGCCCCTTCCAATTCACCCTTGGACACACCTCCTTCCAATTCACACTCAGTGATCTCTTTTAATTCATCCTTGGACAAGCCCCTTCCAATCCACTCCTGGAGAGCCTCCTCTAATTCACTCTTGAAGGTATTCTTTCAGTTTACACTTGGGCAGGCCTCTTTCACCAGGCAGAAATGGTCCCAGGGTTGCTGCATCAAAATGGTGTCCCTTAGCATCACTCAGCTGACCCAGGGCCAGCTTTTAGACAGTGGTGTATGCCCTCAGTGCTCATGGTTCCAGTCTCCTCATTTCTTTTTTTTTTTTTTTTT